TCACGGTTCCATCCCGGTCAGGCACAGGCCCGGCTTGCGGGCTCGACCCCCAGGGGGTGTGCAGGAGGAAGCTGATCAATGGTTCTCATCATTGATGTTTCTCTCTCTCCCTTCCTCTCTGAAATCAATAAAATAAAAATAAAGGGGACAGTCAGCATTTGTATGCCTCTCTGGCACACACCTGCTCAGGGTGAGCCCCAGCCGTGAGGAGGGGAAGCGCCTCTTTACTGAAGAATTCCAGCTAACAAATGAGGACGAGATCATAAAATTGGGAAAGCAACATTTCTTTCTTCCTTTTTTTTGGAAACGAAATATTACAATTTATTCCATCTTCATGATTACAGATATTAGCGGGCAGGGTGCGTAAACAACGCAAGTAAAGCAGCTGCCTTTCTCCCCTAACCAGATACAGTGCTTTGGCATTTTCATGATAGACAGGTTGACTTAGCTCATTGACTTAGCTTGAAAGCTGGCCACAGCAGCAAACCTTAGCAATTTAGGATCTTCCTCCATAGCATACTCCAGGGATCTTAGTGACTGAACTAACTCTGAACTCTGAAATGGTGTTCGCTCTAGCATTCTTGAGGCTTTCACATCTTAATCTGAGGTCTGACACCTCTTGTTAAGGCCGGGAGCTGTTAAAAGCTAACCCAGTCCACCACTGAGCACCTTAACTGTTAAGTTACTGTAAAAAATAAAACTGCTCCCAAGCATTGACTGGAACAGTCGTGCTGGGACCCTTGTCAGAGCATCGGCTCCCCGAGCGGAGAGCGGTCCTAAGCAGCTGCCCCATGAACAGTGACCCGTACGGTACATCTAACGTCCTCAGAGGCATAACGCAGGGCGCCAGGCAACCATCATTATCCTGATGAGTTTATCAGTCTTTAGATACAAGATATATAAAGCGGATCCCAGATGAAGTACTGCAACCATATCCCAAGAAATCATTCAGTTTTAGCACAGCGAGTTCCTGCAAGATGTCACAGCAGGTGACAAAGCGTCCCAAAGTAAAAGGTGATGGTGCAAAGTGAGAGGAAACATCCAGGAGGAAAACAAGTCCGCATTAAACTGATGGCTATCTTCACAGCCTTCATTTGCAAAATCCAGAGGGCTCACATTTCCAGATCTGAGGAGTCTATTTTCAAGGCGACTGTCAAGGTCAAGAAGAGCTTTCAGGCTTGTCTCTGCCGTGGCCCATGAACTCCAGTCCTTCAGTGGGAATCTCCTCTCCTTTATTGCTTTCTGAATGCACTGCTGGTAGCGCTTGAAGGAGTCCATGCACGGTCCCCGGAGCTTCCCCCTTGAGGAACTTCTCGGCAAACCAGCGATGAAAGCACTGATCATACTCGCGCCTCATGTCAGTGCATCCCTCCTCTACGCTGTTCATTGCGAAAACCAGGATTTCACAGCTCCTCATGAAGTAACTGACTCAGGCAAAACTCATCTATGGATGAAACTGTCAGCGGGAAGGTGAGGGAGGATCCCCACAAGGAGGGCGGGCCATGGCCATGGGGACCCCAGCCCGCGCTCCTCTCTGCTCTGCTCGCCTCCTCAGGGGGCACCACAGGGAACCACAGCACCTGCCAAGGAATCTTATCCCACAAACGGAATCTGAATCCAATCAAAACCTCAGGTTTGAAGGTGAAAATACAAGGGCTGGAGGAAGAGGCTCAGTGGCACCCGGAGGAGGCACCTGGCGAGTGCAGAGTGGGTGGTCCAGGGGAGAGTGACTCTGTGACTCTGTGACTGTTAGATGGTGATACAACAAACAGAGGAAGAGGACTACTGGCCGCTAACCTTAGGAGACCTCAACACGCCATGTGTCCCCAGCCGGCGTGGCTCAATGGTTGAGTGTAGACCTATGAACCAGGATTCCCGGGCAGGGCACAAGCTTGGGTTGCAGGCTCAATCCTGGTGCAGGGGGCAACCAATCAATGATTCTCTCTCATCAATGGTGTTTCTCTCTCACCCTTTCCCTCTCTGAAATCAATAAAAAAAAAAAGAAAAAAAATGCAACGTGTAGATTTTCTTTGGATCCTGATTTGAACAAATCAATTACAAATAAGATCTTTTTGAGACATGATGAGACTTGAATATGACTGGTTATTAGAAGACACCACAGTGCTGTTTCCATGTTTTGGGTGTGCAATGGCTTTACGGTTATATACTAACTGTTCTGTTTAAAGAATGGGATGCAGCCCGGCCAGTGTGGCTCAGTGGTTGAGCATTGACCTAGGAACCAGGAGGTCACAGTCTGATTCCCGGTCAGGGCACACGCCCGGGTTGCTGTGTAGGAGGCAGCAGATCAATTATTCTCATCATTGATGTTGCTATCTCTCGCTCCCTCTCTGAAATCAATAAAAATATATATATTAAAAAAATAAAAGGGATGCAGCCTGGCCGATGTAGCTCAGTGGTTGAGCATCAGCCTATTACCCAGGACTCCTGGTCAGGGCACATGCCCGGGTTGCAGGCTCAGTCTCCAGTGGGGGTGTGCCTAAGGCAGCAGATCAATGATTCTCATCATTGATGTTTCTATCTCCCTCTCCCATTGGCTCTGAAAATATTTATTTTTTAACAAGAATGCAATGTAGCCCTGACCGGTTTGCTCAGTGGATAGAGCGTCGACCTGCGGACTGAAAGGTCCCAGGTTCGATTCCGGTCAAGGGCATGTACCTGGGTTGCGGGCACATCCCCAGTAGGAGATGTGCAGGAGGCAGCTGATCGATGTTTCTCTCACATCGATGTTTCTAACTCTCTATCCCTCTCCCTTCCTCTCTGTGAAAAATCAATAAAATACATTTAAAAAATTCTACTAAAAAAAAGAATAAAAATAAAAAGAATGCGATGCATACCTAAGAACGAAGGGGTGAGTGTCATGAGGTCTGGCATTTGCTTTAAGATACTTCAGCAAAGGGAAGGAACAGAGAGGCATCAGGAGCAGCAGTGTGGCAATTCCTTGGTAACTGTTGAAACTAGCTGTTTGGTACATGGGGCTCGTTAAGCTATGCACTTTTTTTTTTTAATCCTCACTCAAGGATATTTTTCCATTCATTTTAGAGAGTGGAAGAGAGAGGGAAAGACAGAGAGAACATCGATTTCAAACACATATACTGGTTGCCTCCTGCACGAGCCTGAACAGGGGCCGGGTGGGGGAGGAGCCTGCAACCTGGGCATGTGCCCTTGTCCGGAATCGAACTCAGGACCCTTCAGTCTGAAGGCCGATGCTCTATCCACTGAGCCAAACCAGCGAGGGCTAAGCTATTCACTTTTTTTTTTTTTAAATATTTTATTGATTTTTTACAGAGAGGAAGGGAGAGAGATAGAGTTAGAAACGTCTATGAGAGAGAAACATCCATCAGCTGCCTCCTGCACACCCCCTACTGGGGATGTGCCCACAACCAAGGCACATGCCCTTGACCGGAATCGAACCCGGGACCCTTAAGTCCCCAGGCCGACACTCTATCCACTGAGCCAAACCAGTTAGGGCAAGCTATTCACTTTTGAGAGTTTTTGAAAATGTGTTTAAATAAAAAATTGAAGTATTACATATTGATCACAAATTCTGGATAAAATATAACAAAATTATACCATGTCTTCACACAGTGCCGTTAACCCACCTTTCGTCAGGTGGGATAAATGACCCTGATGTCATTTCCTAGTGCAGCACTTGAAAGTGAAACAGACTTTATTTTTAAAAAATATTTTTATTGATTTCAGAGAGGGAGAGCGATAGAAACATCAATGATGAGAATCACTGATCGGCTGCCTCCTGCACCCCCCTCACTGGAGGTTGAGCCTGCAACCCCGCCATGTGTCCTGATTGGGAATCGAACTGTGACTTCCTGGTTCATAGGTCAATGCTCAACCACTGGGCCACGCTAGTCGGGAACACTTTTAACTGCAGATGAATGTGACCCTCATCCCTTTATGTGAGAGACATTCTTTTTTAAAGAAATTGATTTGGAAGAGAGGAAAGGAAAGGAACAGATATGAGAAAAACATGGATCAGTTGCCTCCTGCACGTGCCTGGATCGGGAATCGAACCCTCAACCTGGGTATGTGCCCTGACCAGGAATGAAACCCACCACCCTTCCGTGTCCGGGCCAACCGACCGAGCGTCACCGGCGAGGGAGTGTGAGACGTCTTTCCACGTGGTCCAGGTGTTGTACTTTCTTTCCATCGGGAGGAAAGCGTGGCTTCCCACCACCTGCAGCCACCCAGGCTCTTCCCCCAGCGTCTGCTAGAGAATGAAGAGGCTGTCTCTCCCCGAATCCTTCGTGTTTGCTCCGCCCGGCTGGTCTGGGGCAGGCCTGCCCTCCGCACTGTGGGCCCGCTCCCTGCCTCCCTGCCTCCCTGCGGAAGGCCCCCTCTTAGAAACACCACTTAGCAGGCTCAAGTGCCTTCCGGGTCCCCTCCGACTGCGCGGGGTCAATGTGCTTCCGGGCGAGAGGATGTGACGGGAAAGGAGAGTTGATTTGCCCAAGTTGATGTTCTCAGGCAGCACCCCCAGCGCCCTCCGCAGAGCTCTCCCAGCCCACGGTGTCTACGAGGGACTGACATGCAGACGGGCATCGCAACCAGACCACACGCATTCCCCCTCACTAACGCAGTCGCTACAAACATCCTGATGCACCAATAGTCAAGGTCGGTGTGCGTCTAGGCCAGTGATGGCGAACCTAGGACACGTGTGTCAGAGGTGACACGCGAACTCATTTTTTTGGTTGATTTTTGTCAAATGGCATTTAAATATATAAAATAAATATCAAAAATATAAGTCTTTGTTTTACTATGGTTGCAAATATTAAAAAATTTCTATATGTGACACGGCACCAGAATTAAGTTAGGGTTTTTCAAAATGCTGACACGCCGAGCTCAAAAGGTTCGCCATCGCTGGTCTAGTCCCTTCCCCTGAAAGCGAGCATCCTGCCCGCCAGGCGCTCCACCGACGCTCTCCACAGCCACCCTCGTGCCTCAGAGAGGAAGCGCAGCCTCCCCAAGTCCCTGAGTTCACGTTTATTCAGCCTACAGGCCCAAGGCAGGGCCCGCAAGGCCCCTGGGGCAGGAAGGGCAGGGCCAGGCCCAGCGCTACGGAGAGGAAGCCTAATGGAGTGATTTCCCTGTCAAAGAAAACTTGATTTTGCAAAAGGCTGGAGTCTAAAGGAAGGTGGAACTGTCCTTTGGGCGCCCGGCGACCCTCCGCAGGCCACGGTCCTGAGGCCGCTGAGGCCAGGGCCTCCTCGCCGTGGCAAGTGTGCAGCTCAGAGCGTCCAGCTCAGAGCGTCCCGTACACGCTGACCTTGGCCAGGGAGATGCTCTCTGTGCAGTAGTTCCGGCCTTTCTCGTACAGGATGAAGAGCAGCGGGGCCTGGTCCGCCCCGCCCACGCCGCCCTCCAGGGCTGCCAGCGAGGAGTAGCCGCTGGGCCCGGGCCAGAGCTGCACTGTCTCCTTCCGCCACGAGGTGCCGTTGCTGAAGCTCCAGCGCAGGGTCAAGTTCACTCCTGGGAGAGCAGCAGCGTCAGGGCGCGGGGTCTCTGCCCAGGCCTCTCTAGACAACGGCCCAAGCCCGCCCTCCCTCCCTGGCCCGCAGACACTCACGGAACTCCGGGTGGGCTGGATTGGAGAAGAAGACAATGCCCGAGCTGGTGGCTACCGCGCCTGCGGCCACCACAGGGTCCACCAGCTCAGGGTCGAAGGTCACGTCCCGGGGCCTCAGCGTGTCGCAGGCGTCGTAGCTGCGGAGGATGATGCGGCAGCGGCAGTGGTAGTTGTTCTGGTTCCGGGCGTTGATGACTACTGAGCCATCCGGGAGCTCGTAGGGCTGAGGGGAGAGAACGGGCTCAGGGAGGCCCGGGAGGGGCTGCGCGAGGGGCTGTCCCTGAGCCACGGCGGGCGGCTGGGAGGGGCGGAGCCTCGGCCTCCTGACCTGGCACTCATCAGGGTTGAAGTCATTTTCCCGCTTGGGCTGGCCGTAGGGGATGCCGCTGACCCCACTGCCGTAGCGCCAGGAGGCGCCGTGGTCATCGCTGAGGAGGCAGAAGACCCCGTCCCGCTCCAGCGTCCCGTGGCCACACACGATGAGCCGGCCTTTCCGTGGCTCTCGCTGTTTCTGTGGGAAAGGAGTGCGTGTCAGATGGAGGCCCGAGGGGGCTCAGAGGCGGGAAGGGGAACCACCCGGTCCTCAGTGTGGGGACACATGTGTCCCCTTAGTTCTGTCCTTGCTCGCTGGGGGTCCCCGACGGATCTCAAGCAGCCACTGCTGGATTACGCTTTTGCAGAATAAGCTCCTTTGGAACATCCAGGACCAGGGGCGGGCCACCGGGGGGTGGGGCTGGCTCTTCCCTGCGTGCTCGCTCACCACGCTGGCCGTGGCACAGACGCGTCCGCCCAAGGAAGGGGTGTTTTTTCTAACTTGCAGCCCTGCTGACGACCACTGGGTGGGGAGTTCCACCTCCCACTCCTCCCAGGGTGAACCTTTCTTCCAAGGGACCCCACCTCAGACAGGAACTGGCTTCGCAGGAACCTCTCCTGGGAAGGAGTCCATGTTGGGGCATCTCCCAGACTCTCCACCGGGCACCCCCTCTACCCATCCCAGGCCGGAGACCTGAATGCCAGAGCCCGGTCCAGGGGCAAACATCTCGGTGCCGATCTCCAGGGAGAGGTTCCGGGGTGGGCTCCAGGAGACCCCATCGTCCTTGCTCCACACCAGCATGGTGGAGGCCACCTGGCAGCCGGCCTTGTGAGCACAGAGGGAGTAGAAAAGGAACACCACTCCCGTCTCCGCATCGCTCACCACGGCCCCCAGGTTCAGCCCGTCAGGGGTCTCCCCGTCGTCCACAATGAACGCTGTAGGAGACCACGTGCTGCCTGAAGAAAAGAGACACAGATGGGACCACATGAAACCGAGAAGCTTCTGCTCAGCACCAGATGCAGGGGAGCCCACTGGACGGAGGACAGTCAGCGATGAGACAGCGGGTAAGGGCTGATTTCCAAAATGAGGCAAGTGCTCGGCCACTGATCGTCGGAGATGGAAATTAAAACCACACTGAGGCGCCACCTCACACCTGTCAGAACGGCTGCCATCAGCAAATCAACAAACGACAGTGCTGGCGAGGATGTGGAGAAAGGGAACCCTCGTGCACTGCTGGTGGGAATGCAGACGGGTGCAGCCGCTGTGGAGAACAGTATGGAGTTTCCTCAAAAAATTAAATATGGCCGGAGCCGGTTTGGCTCAGTGGATGGAGCGTTGGCCTGCGGACTGGAGGGTCCCAGGTTCGATTCTGGTCAGGGGCGTGTGCCTTGGTTGCGGGCATATCCCCAGTGGGAGATGTGCAGGAGGCAGCTGATCGATGTTTCTCTCTCATCGATGTTTCTAATTCTCTATCTCTCTCCCTTCCTCTCTGTAAAAAATCAATAAAATATATTCAAAAAAAATTAAATATGGAACTCCCATTTGACCCAGTGATCCCACTTCTAGGAATATATCCCAAGAAACCAGAAACACCAACCAGAAAGAATGTGTGCACCCCTATGTTCATAGCAGCGCAATTTACAATAGCTAAGATCTGGGAACAGCCCAAGTGCCCGTCAGCAGATGAATGGATAAAAAGCTGTGGTACATCTACACCAGCCGTGGGCAAACTACGGCCCGAGGGCCAGATCCGGCCTGTTTGAAATGAATAAAACTAAAAAAAAAAAAAAGACCGTACCCTTTTATGTAATGATGTTTACTTTGAATTTATATTAGTTCACACAAACACTCCATCCATGCTTTTGTTCCGGCCCTCCGGTCCAGTTTAAGAACCCACTGTGGCCCTCGAGTCAAAAAGTTTGCCCACCCCTGGTCTACACCATGGGATACTATGCAGCTGTAAAAAAGAATCTCTTACCCTTTGAGGCAGCAGGGAGGGACCTGGAGAGTATCATGCTAAGTCCGTGGTCGGCAAACTGCGGCTCGCAAGCCACACGCGGCTCTTTGGCTCCTTGAGTGTGGCTCTTCCACAAAATACCACGTGCAGGCACGCACGTACAGTGCGATTGAAACTTCGTGGCCCATGCGCAGAAGTCGGTATTTTGTGAAAGAGCCACACCCAAGGAGCCAAAGAGCCGCATGTGGCTCACGAGCCGCAGTTTGCCAACCACTGTGCTAAGTGAAATAAGTCAGAGAAAGACAAGTATCACATGGTCTCACTCATATGGGGAATCTAATGAACAAAATAAACTGACGAATAAAATGGGCTCAGAGGGACGGAAGCCTGGAGCAAGTGACGGGCCTCAGAGGGAAGGGAATGGGGGTGCGGGCAGAGAATAACCACAGACCTTATTGCATAAATGCAAAGCCCATGGAGAGACAGTGTGGTGAAGACCTGGGAGGGGTGCGGCTAGGTGGAGAGGGACCATGGGGGGCACTGGGGACACCTGCAATCCGCTCCACAATACATATTTAAACATTAGGAAAATAACAGCATGAGAGCTGAAACCCAGGGTGCGCACCCGCAGGCGCCCTTCCCACCAGGTCCTCTCACCTTCCCTCCAGCTGAGGACCAAGGCCTTACAAGGGCCGGGGCCCAGACCTGGCTTCCTGGCCTCTTGTAGCGGAGCTGCTCCCCTCACTCTGTCCGTCCGTCGGACCGGCACACAGCTCCTCGGGCCTCGGGCCCTTCCGCCCAGGGCCTCCCCCCAGGCTCCCCCATATTCACACCATTGCATTTAGCCTGCTCATCTGTGGCCCCGGTAGAATATGAGCCCCGCCAGGACTGGCTCTGCTGTTTTGTGCATCACTGTGCTCACAGCCCTCCCACTGTGCCAGGCGCAGTCAGTGCTTGATGAACGTCTGAATGAAGGCTCACCCCCGTGGTGACCCCAACTTCCAGGTCACTGTCCCGAGCGCCTCCTCTGCGCAGGCGCCCTTCCCCCAGGGCCTCGGGCAGGTCAGGCTGCCCCCCGCCGCCCAGCGCCGGCTCTGGCCCGGGAGGATGCATACCCTGGTCTACGGACCTCCGCAGGGCGATGAACTTGGCCCCCTCGTCCGACGTGGACATCTTTCTGGCCTCGGCAAAGGCAAGGAGAGTGCCGCGCGGGGTGGCGGCGATGAGAGGGATGCGGAAGGTGTCCACCGCCGCGATCCGCCGCCCGCTCACCCACAGCAGCTGCTCCATGGTCACCAGCGGCTGGACCTGCGGCCGGAGGAGGGGCCACGCGGGCACACGTGACAGGTCAGGACGGCGGGGCAGCGGCTCAGTCAGGTCCCCCGGGAGAGGCAGCTGTGGGGTCGCGCGGGGGGCGGGTCCCAGAACCAGGGCGGGAGCCTCGGGGAGAGGTCGGAGGGCAGGGGCCTCGGAGCGGCGGACGGGCTGCGGGGGGAGAGGCGCCCTCGGAGAAGAGGGGCCTCCAAAGGGGAAGGAGCGCGAATGCGGAGGGGAAGGGCCTGAAGGCGGAGGGGCTGCGAGCGGACGGAGGGGCGGGGGCGGGCAGTCCCGCGGGCACCGCCGGGCGTGGGCCGCTCGCGGGGTCGGGTTCGGGGTCGGGGTGGGCGGTGCAGGGCGGCTCACCAGCCTGAAGTCGTTCTCGTCCCCCGCGGTCAGTGCCGCGGACAACAGCAGCGGGAAGATCGTGGCAAATACCTGAACCCCACCGAGTCTCCCGAACCCCGGCCTCCGCGGTCCCTCGGGGCCGCCCAGGAGCACCGCGCCGGGCCGCTCGGCTATCATTTCTCCCCGCGCCCCCGGCCCCCGGCCCCAGGACTAAACCCGGGCTGGAGTCAGTCAGCTGACCCTGGCCCTTTAAGCACTCAGGTGTCACCTCCCGTCCCGCCCCCACCCGCCGATCCGCGGCGCTTCTGCGACTCTAATTGGCCCCAAACACTCGGACTCTTCACGTGACCCGTCAGCGCCTCTGAGCTAGCCCTCCTATTGGCTCCCTTTGAAGAGCCGCAGCTCGTGACCCGGGCGGGAATGAGGAAGGGCCGGGATGACTCCTCAGAGCCTTTTGATTGGTCGCAGCCGCTGGGGCGCGACATGGGGGCGGGCCTACTTGAAAGTGCCGGGCGGGGAGGACAGGGTCTCATTGTCCTGGACGGAATGAGAGCAGGACCACGCTTCTTGCCAAAGCAAATATGTGTCAATCTTTAATGGCATCTTTTTACTACAAAATCAGGGCCTGAGCGGAGGGGAGGCCGGGAGGCTGCGCGGGCGGCGCCGGCTCAGGGCTTCTTCCCCTTGCCCGCCGGGGGCGCGGCGTTCTTCTTGCCGAGAATCTGTAGGAGCGCCTTGGACATGAAGTAGGGCCGGGCCGCGGAGCCGTCGTTGCGCTCCAGGTCTTCCACTGCGCCGCGAGCAGGCGTTAGCGGGCGGGCGGGCGCAGGTTTGGGACTCGCGGGGGGGGGGTGCATGCAACCCCGCTCCCCATTTGTCAGCTAGGACCAGGGTAGCACATCCCTCCCCGCGGTCAGGTTCGGGGGGGCCGCACGCCCCCTGCGCGGCGCGGCGCGGCGCCGGCACGACCGGAGCCTGAGAGGCGCCCACCGCCCGGTGCGGGGACCCCGCTCCCCACAGCCCCGCGGGTGGCCCGCACCTCCCGGGGTTTCCGGGGACGTCAGGTCTCCCCGGGAGCTCCCCCTCCCACCAGCCGGCACCGCGCGCGGGGCGGGGGCGGGCGCACTCACGGAAGCAGAGGAAGAGCGTGTCCACGCACATGCCGAAGACGCTGAAGAAGCCGCTGGCGACGACGTGGGCCCCCAGGACGGCGATCTGCGGGGCGCGGCCTGTTAGCGTTTCTCTGGGGCGCTAGGGGGTGCGGCCGGGAGGGGGCCACTCACCATGATGGGCAGCCAGTAGTAGTTGAGGGGGCGGCTCTCCAAGTCTTGGCCCAGCCCCAGGCGACCCGTGAAGAGGAAGAAGGACAGGACCCCTGTGGGAGGGCGGCGTCACCGGGGCCAGCTCGCCGCTCCCCGCGCCCGCCCGCCCGCCCGGTGCTGGCGGCTTGGCCGGTCCTTACCGACACCTCCCACCACCAGCAGCTTCCCGAAGAGCAGCAGCAGGTCCGTGACCTTGTCCAGGACGACCACCCTGCGCGGGGAGAGGCCGGCTGGACGGGGCTGCCTCCCTTGCGGGCAGGCATTGGCCAGGGGTCACCCCGCGGGGCGCAGGCCTCTGCGCCCCCCGCAGCCCAGGCGAGCGGAGACCACGCGGGGCAGCCTGACCTGACCACGTTCCGCATGAGCAGCATGAAGGCGTCTCTGGCGGAGACGCAGAAATTCTTCCCGTAGATGGCGATCTGGGTGGAAGGGGAAGGTCGGGGTCACCCCGGGGCTCCCCGGGGCCAGGAGCCGGGGCTGCGTGCACTGGGCTCACCATAATGTACGCGTTGCGGTTCAGGAACTTGATGAACTTCTCCAGGCACCAGAGGCAGCACTTGAAGCAGCACATGATGCAGCGGGCCACGGGGTTCTGGGCGACTGGGGGCCAGCGACTCGGGTGTCAGGACCCGGACACAGGGCCTGAGAGCCTCTCCCCAGGGACCCAGCTGCTCAGCCGGGCCTCCCCAGCCCCTGACCTCCGCTCACCTCTCAGCTTGTGGTCAATGTACTCCAAGATGACCCGCGCTATCTGCACCAGCATCAGGATGAGGGCCCCAAAGGCCAGCGACCCGGTGTGGTAACTGCCCAGGGAGGAGGCAGTCAGAGGCGGCCGGGACCCCTGGACTCCCAGGCTCCCAACCCGCCCCGCCCAGGCTGACCCGGCCCCAGGCTCACCGCAGCGTGCGGAGGAAGGCAGCGCCCAGGGGAAAGGTGGGGATATCCCGGGGCTTGTGGAAGGCCCAGTAGAAGGAGGCAAAGGCCCCAGCCAGGACACACTGGCCCAGAGCCAGGACCCAGTTGAGGGTCCAGAATAGCCCCAGGACCCCATAGATTTGCAAGTTGAAGAGAGATCGCTGCACCAGGCCTGTGGACAAGTAGCCCTGGAAGACGCACATCAGTCCGGGGCACGAGGAGTTCGTGGGCTGAGCCTGGGGAGCACAGACAGGTCCATACCCAGCCAGCGCCCGCCCCTCCCAGAGTGGAAAGAAACAAAGCCTCCCAGCTTGGGAAGGGGCTCCCTCCAGGAGATTCACCCCCGGGTCCCGAGTGGGTTGATCTCGCCTATTGTGTGAGCATAAGTCTCTTCTTTCTGTCTCTGGGTGAGCGCAGGAGCCCCAGGAGCTCCCGGCCACGTGGTGTGGGCCAGGCCCTAATGGTGTGTGGGGAGCCCTGGGGCCAAGGCCTGGCCAGGCCCTCGACCAGCTGTCCCCTCCCAGAGCAGCCTCTGCAACTTCAACCAAAATGCTTTCCAGCAAAATTGAGGAGACTGTGTGTCTGATGACATTAAGGAATTATTGTTAATCTTGTTGGGTTTGATAATGGTTATAGTGGCTATGCTTTTTTAAAGTCTTATCTGTTGCCCTGGCCGGTTTGGCTCAATGGACAGAGCATAGGCCCTCAGACTGAAGGGTCCCAGGTTTGATTCTGTCAAGGGCACATGCCCGTGTTGCAGGCTCGATCCCCAGTAGGTGGCATGCAGGAGGCAGCCGATGAATGATTCTCTCATCATCATTGATGTTTCTATTTCTCCCTGTCCATTCCTCCCTGAAATCAATAAAAATATATTTTTTAAAAGTCCTTATCTGTTGAGATCCATCCTGATGTGTTTACAAGTGAAATGGTATGATGTCCAAATTTCCCTTAAACTCTAGAAAAATATTTGCACTTAGGGGTGGGGGTTGGGTGAGATGGATGAAAAAAGAAAGTCGAAGGTGTGGGATCTGGGTATGGGAATTCTCTACTTAGCGTGTTTGAGAAATTACCATAACAAGTGAAAAGCTTAGAAATAAAAACCCTTCCCAGCCAATGTGACAGCCTTGATAATTGCTGGGCCCGAGTGCGTCAGACATTTTATAATAAAATGAACCACTTTCCATGTGTGTGCCTGCGGGCGGTGTCCGTCTCCACGGCCAGGTCCTGAGCCGGCTGAAGCAAGCACAGTCATCTGGGGCTTTGCACAGCTTGGCACATAGGGTCCTTCGCAAACGGACGCAAACCTCCCTCCCCTTTAGAGTGGGGGCCAATGCCTGTGGGCAGAGCCCGTCTCGCTCAGAGCAGGTCGCCACAGGAAAGCTTTGAGGACAGTCAATTCCCAGAGGTCCAGGCCACTCCTTGGGAACCTCAGGGGCGGGGTGTGTGTGTGAGGGGGCGGGGGGCGGGGGGGCTGGCAGCTTCTCTCCCAGACCCCTGCAGGGCAGGGCAGAGCAGCTCACCTGCCTATTGCCTAGGGCAGTGTGTTCCCAGGGAGGAAGATAAAAAGACTAAACAAAACCCATAGCTATCAGCGCTAATCAGGTGCTGGGCTTTGTACTAAGCACTTCTGTGCCCAAAGTCACGGCCTGCTCTGGCTGGCCCTGCGGGCCGGGCATTATGAGGGTGTTTCGATTGGCTCCACTTTACAGAGCGGACTGGCTGGGGTCGTTCGTGGCCCAGCAGAGGAATGTCCTGGGGAGGGCAGGGCCCTGGCATCCAGCTTCCTGCGGCCTGGCGCTGCCTCAGGCACAGCACACTCGCCTCAGTGGCCCTCCCCGGCTCAGGCAGGACTCCTGGCTCAGGAGTCAGCAGACTGGCTCCCTTTCGGGCTCTGCCGGGGCCTGTTGTGTGACCTTGAGGGAGCCTCTGTCCTCTCTAGTCCTCGGTTTCCCCTGCACAAGGAGGCATTCGGCCCTGAGGTGCCCTCAGCCCTTTAGGTGCCCCTCCACGTTTACCCCCACCCCCTCACCATCGGGTCGCACGATGCGTTCACTGGCACGGCCTCACAGCTGGGGAAGCTGGTGTTGGGTGCCCAGAAGACGTACTGAGGTTGTCCTGAGGTGGCCAGGTACCCAGAGGGAAGTCAAGGAAAGCATGGCCACACGGGGTCTCTGTGGCCCCTCCACAGGGCCTTCCCAGGTGCTGGTGCCGGATGCTCCCCGGCCGAGGCTGGACTTCTGCCTGGGCTCGCTCTCCCCGCTGTCCCCGGGCCACTGTGCATGCCCAGAGGGACGGGCGCCTTCCCAGCACGAAGGTGCTGAGTGGGCAAGTCCTGCCCTTTCTGCCCTCCGCCCCACGGACACCAGGAGGGCTGGCTGTGTGGGCAAAGGATACAGGGCAGTCATGGCCCAGTAGGCAATGCAGATGAGCAGGAGGACAAAGGTGACCAGCGGGTAGAACATAGTGGACATCATCTGTCCCACAGCCCTGCAGGGAGTGAGCACTGTCCACCAGCAGGCCCCCCGGCCCCACCTCTGCCCCAGGGCCTGCTCCACCCCGGAGCTGGGCACGCCTAGGAGCTCCCTGAGGAAACGGAAGTCAATGAACCTGGCTCAGGGGCCCTTAGAGGAAGTGCGTCTCAGAGAAGCCCCCTGGACAGCGTCAGGGAAAGTAAGGTCAGGGAGTCCTCAAAGTGGTGTGTTGACCAACCTGGCAGGTAGGTCTTCCCCACCCTGCCTGGGTTCCCACCGTCCCACCCACCCACCATCACCATGGCAACAGTGACTGCCAGGACAGCCCTTCTGGAGGGACCGCTTCATGCTGAGACACACTCACTTCAGCCTCAGGGCACCCTACCAGGTAGGTGTGCTCTCACCCCCACTTCACAGATGGGTAAACGGAGGCTCAGAAAGGCTGGCACAGCAGTATTAACCACTGCACTATTCTGCCCTTCTGTGCAGGGCTCCCGCACCTGCCCAGCCGCCCACCGGCCCGCCCTGCCCTCTGCCCGCCTCTCTGGGGTAGGCCCTGACTTGCTGGCCTCCTTCAGGAGGGCGATGGCGATGCGGATCCGCTGCCGCAGGAAGATGAGCATGAGCAGCAGGAGGCCTTCAAGCACAGCCAGCAGGATCACTGAGGGGGACAGGGCAGAGGCGGTCAGGGCCAGGGCAGCGCTTTGGCGGTTGGCATTTGGAGGGGCGGGGTACTCACGGGCCGCCAGCCAGGTCTCCTGAACACTGCGGTAGGCGCTGAGGTTGGTGGTGAAGCCCAGCTGGGTGATGGAGGCACCCCGGTCCCGCAGCACCTGGTACTCCTTCCAGCAGTGGTAGATGCCATAGGCCAGCACCCCCAGCACCCCTAGGATCAGGACCAGCACCAGGGGCCCGGCCACCAGGCGAAGCAGCAGGAGAAACAGCAGGCTCAGGACCAGAGCCACGCCCAGGGCACTGCAGGCAGGAGGAGGTAGGTGAGGGTCACCCCTGGCCCCCAAATGCCTTTCCTCACACCCCTACAGTCTTCGGATTAGACCTCCTTTCTATTATAAATCCTGTTGGGCTTGGGGTCCATTCTGAGCTCTGGCTCCTCCTCCCTAGTCTAAAGACTCAGTGTCAGACACTGGGCTGGAGAATTCGGATGGGGAGGGAGAATGGAAGGAGAAGGCGGGGAATCTGGTGACTCACACAAGAATCAAGTACCAGGACTGGGCTAAGTCTTCAAAGATCTTAACGCTGATGTCGCGGGCACTGAAGCTGTCCAGAAGACCACTAGGGAGAGACAGAGTCGGACGGGCTGCTGTTGGAAGGGCGGAGGGGCAGAGCTGTAGAGACGGCGGTACCCACCTGATCCCCTGGTTGATGGAGGTGTTGCCAGGGATCCCTGGGAACTCGAACTGTGTACTATTGGGGTATGGAACACAGCGCCCCAGAGCTGGAGGGAGAGAACAGCTACTGGGGGGCGGGCGCAGAGCTTTGCCTTGAAAGTCTCTGGCCGCACCTCAGCCACAGCCCTCAGGGGGCCGGAGAGCCGGTCCGCACCCTCTGAGCGGTTCTTGATTCCACAGCAAAGAGCCCAGGCCACGCTGCCTTCACTCTACGTCCTGTCCTCCCCTCCCGCCTCCGGCGACGCCGCCTCACACCCTCCTTTGCTCTGGGCTGGCTCTTAGGAAACCTCCACTCCCCACCTTGCGTCCATCAGCCAGGCAGCCAGGCACAGCGAGGGCCGCGTCATCCCAGGGCCCGAGCCACTCTGCTGCTCAGGCTCCTCCGAGGCTGGAGGCTCCGCCCTGACCCCGCTCACCTCACGGCCAGGCTTCAGGCCTCCCGAGCCGGCGCTCCCGCTGCGCCCCTCTCCCTGTCGAGCTCCATCCTCGCCTCACCGTGCCTCCTGCAGGCTTGTGCCTTCTCCTGTGGCACCGATTACATGCCCACAACATTTCGCCACCCTTACCACTGTGCCAGGTAAACTTGCTTTGGCACTGACATTCTCAAGAGCAAATAAGGCTCAAGGGGTTGAGCAATTAGCCCAAGACCACACAGCTGGAAAGTGCTGGAACTTAAGTCCAGCTCTGACTTTGGAGCATTCATTTGAGGCACTTCCTATTGTATTTATGGTGAGAACTGGGTATCTTTTCTCATGCTATAATTAATATTTTTTCTTTAAAAAATAACATTGACTGCCCTGGCCGGTGTGGCTTGATTGGTTGAGCATCGTCCAGTATACTGAAAGGTCACTGGTTCGATTCCTGGTCAGCACACATACCTGGGTTTGGGGCTCCATCCCCCGTAGGGGGCACGCAGGAGGCAGCTGATGGATGCCTCTCACATTAATGTTTCTCTCTTTCTCCCTCCCCTTCCTCTCTCTCTCAAAGTCAATTAAAAAGTCATAAAAATAATTTGGTTGTTTAAAGAAAGATTTACTATTGGAAAGAAGAGCATACAGAATTAAAATTAGTCACCTGCCACCCCACCGCCAGCCATATTCACCTGTAGCATTTGGGTGAACTTCTGGTCTGGTCTGTCTTCTATGCACGCACCGAAATGTTTCCACGCACCCTCTGAACCTCCCACCAGCACGCAGCTCCACGGGCAGCTGCACTTCCTGCAGCTAGCCACGCCCAGCGCCCAGGTGCCGGGAACTGTGCTGCCCTGTGACTTCACCGTCTCTGGCCTGGCTTCCTCATTTGAGCAATAAACGTATAGGCTACCTGACCGAGGGGGCGTGTGCTCTCACCTGGAGTGGAGGGGAGGAGGAAGCTGGGGCAGAGGTCTTGTTCCAGGCTTTGGAGTACTGGCTGGGGGTGGGGGGAGGGACAGACACCAGTCACAGCAGGATGGAGTGCCCCCCCCCCCGCCCCGCCCTACCACCCCAGTCATCTTCCCAACTCCCCCTGCACCCCACCCATGCGGCCCCTTCTTGATGACAGCGATGACATTGGGGCAGCGCTCACCATGTCCCAGGGCACCCCTGGCCGACAGACAGTCCGGTTTGCAGCGTAGAAGACCTCCCCGACCGTCAGTGAGAGCTCACCCTGACTCACGACCCAGAGGGCCGCTGGACAGGAGGACACACACACCTGGGGCAGAGGGTGTGCTGTGGGGCTCTTTCCAGACCTGGGGGTGATCTGGGCAGAGGCAGGTCCCAGGCTCTGACCTGGGGCGTGGGGCACTGCAGGCCGTGCTCAGCGACCGCGATGATGTTGGTGGCCAGGACGCAGCTGAAGATGTTGAAGTACAGGAGATAGGGTTTATCTCTGCAGGAGGGAGGACGTGCGTGTGTCAGGGCCTGGCCAGGGGTAGGGGCAGGAGGGACGGCGGGCCTCGCCTCCAGGCTGCACACCCAGCTCCTGGCCTCAGCCCAGCTGGAGGTATGAGATCTCCAGAGCCATCCAGCGCCGCACGTGGTTCAGAGCTGAGCAAACCCATGCTCGCAAATGGTTAAAAGCGTGAACTCTGGAGCCCAATCACCACCCAGCTTTATGACCTTGAGCAAGCCCCTGTACTGTTCACAGTCTCAGCCCCATCGTGGTAACTAACAGTGCCCGCCAGCCTGGAACAGGCGAACGCCTTGTAAATGCCGGAGGTTTGGTTGTTGATGGGCCACTTCCTGCCTACGAGATGGACAGCACCGCTGCGGGGTCACCCCTGCGTTTCAGATGAGGCCGAGCACCTTGCAAGGCCACACGGCCAGGACCCAGGTGGGGAGCCCAAGGCCAGTTCCAAAGTCTAAAGCCTGTGCCCCTGGCCCTGGCTCTACATCGCCTCGCAACTGGGGGGCCTCATAAGCGAGCTGCCCGCAGGGGAAGCTGCTCAATGTGGCTGAGGGGGTCCCCGGCCCATCCCCCCCCCCCCCTGCTGGTGCACTCACTTGTTGGCCCCCATGCCGCAGTAGGCCCCGGTGGAGTTCCTGGGGTAGAGGACTTGCCGGGGGTCTCCATACGCCCACGCTGGACACAGACACACAGTCACCGGAGGGGGCGGCAGGGACATCGCGGGGAGCAGCATGGGATCGCCTCTCCCTGGTCACTGCCCCCAGCCGCCACCCTCGCTGTGCAGCGGGAGACTCACCCACGACGCCCAGCGCAGCGTAGCCCAGGAGGAAGAGGAGGAAGAGGACACAGCAGATGACATCGGTGCAGCCCCTGCGGGAAGGGCCTGCTGAGCAGGCGCTGGGCCCGGGCGGGCCTCTGGTGGGCGAGCTTCCTCTGCAGCCACCAGGACACACACAGCTGCCCTGCTCAGCTGGTTTCCCGAAGGGCCCCTCCACGGCAGCGCCCCACTCTCCTGGCACAAGCTTCTCACCAGTTTTTCAGCAAGTTCACGGCAGAGGCGAGGCCCCTGCCCCCAGCGAGTTCCCAGGGCTCACCTGCTCTTGATGGGGCCTCGGAAGGAAGGGTCGTGTTTGACTGGCTTCCCTGCGGGCAGTGGGGAGCAGTGTGGAGACTGAGGCACTCAGAGGACGTGCTCTCCACTTCCTGTCCCCACCAAGGGAAATGGATGGGGCCGGGCTGGCGGGAGGGGGAATGGGAGGGCAGGGGAGGTAGGCTCCAGGCTCACCGTGAACCCCCAGGTGGCCTGGGGGGAGGGGGGCCCTTACGGGTCATTTCCAGGACAGTAACTCCACTCTTGCCTCCACCCTGGCCCCTCTCTCCTTTGTCCCCTCGGGGAGGCGGACTCTGTGTCCACCCTTCCAGGGGCCCTCATGCTGCCAGCCCGTGCCCTCCTCTCCCAGGCGGCACAGGTGGAGCCCACAGGGAGGTCACAGCCCCTCTCCCAGCTGCCTCAGGCCCCCACGCTGGCCCCCAGAGCCGCAGGGCGGGAGCTCCCTGCACACCCCTCCCCAAGGGCCTGTCTCCCGGCCACTGCCAGTCGCTGGGCAAGCAATCCAAGCAGGGTGACACCTGAGCTTGGCGGTTGAGGTTGTGGCTGCGTCCTGTTCCTGGTCCTCCCTGAGTACACAGGGAGGAAGCGGGCCAGGACCAGGGTCCCTTGTGGGCGCCGAGGAGGGGGCAGAGGCGGGCAGTGTGGGAAGAGGTGGGGTCCGTGCTCTGCAGGTGCTGGACTCTGTCCCTGCACGGCTCTTGGCCATGAGATCAATGATTGACGCAAAGTTGCTCCAGGAAGTCCTGCTCTTCCCGGCCCCTGAGACCCAGGTCTCCCCTCTGGGAGTCCCCTTCCCTCCAGAACAGGGCTCAGACCCCCAGCCCCAAGGGACTGTCAGGCAGGCTCCCAGCCCCCACTGCTCACAGGGATCCCCGAGGCGGCCCGTTCCTCTCCCTCACACCTCCCCACCCCTAACCCTCAGGTCCTGGGACGGCTCCCAGATTCTGGACACAAGCTTCTTGCTCCATCTCCCCTCAGGCTTTACCCTTCACGGGACCCCAGGAAGCCTCGCCTCTATTCTTCAAGGTACCAGTACAGACTCGGAGACAGGCTCAGCCCCCCATAAAGACCCTGAGCCCCAACTCCTCACTGGGGCCCCAGCACTGCTCAGTGACCCCGTGGGAAGACCCCCAGCGCCCTCCCCTCAGCCCAGGTCCAGGCTGACCCTCCCGGGGACCCAGCCTTCTGCTGGCTGGGCCTCACCTGGCAGCGGCAGGCTCCACGGCCCGCACCCCAGCCCTGCTCAGGACCACACCCTGCCTCTTTCCATTCAGCTCCCTTCCTTCCCAGGGCCCTGGCCCCAGGGACCAGCGTCTGGGCCTGAACCTCTGGTCCCAGGGGCTAAATAAAGCCCCAAACCCCAGCTTCACTCCCCAAGTTTCCTTAGCAACGGCCCCCGGCCACTGAACCCCATCCTCCTCCCAGGACCCGGGCTCTGCCTTCTTCCATGAGCTCCCCCAGTGCCTCTCCCCAGGCCAGCCCGTGGCCCAGCTAGGTCTCCCTCCCTTGCAGGGTCCTCACCGTAGGCCTCCTCCCCAGCCGGCTTTCCCCCCATGTTCAGTGTCTCCAGAGTGAGGAGTGATTGGAGCCGGGAGACCTGGCAACTCACCTGCCGCTGCCCCGCCCTCCCACGTCACAGCCCCACCTCCGCCTGTGGTCCCCGACACACTCTAGTTCCTCCTCAAAGTGCAAAGGGAGGAGGGCGAGGCGGGAAGGCCCAGCCAGGGCCGGGGCGGGAGCTGGAATGCTCCAAGAATCCCTGTGACCCTGCAAACCACCTCCCGCCCATGCCCTCCAGCCAAGGCGGTCATTTGCCTTTTAGGCCTTGACTAGCCCCTGCCCTCAGGGTCCTCCCCTCCCCTCCCCTCCCTGGGGCTGCTGTGCACACCAGTTGGTCGCTTCCTCCTGGCTCTGCCCTTGGACCCACATTCCCTGTGTGCGCTGTGCTTCCTCCCCACAGCCCCCCACGCCCCCAAACCCAAATGCTGTTACCAAACCCAACGTTTATTGAGAACCAAGACACCAGCTGGCACAGAGGCTCATTTCAGTTCATCAAACATCAGCTGAGGATGGGACGGGCGGCCAGCCCTGAAGTCCCCCCAGGGAGGAACCAGCCCTGGGCGAGGGGCTGTCAGACCTCCAGGGCCTGGCTGGGGTCTCTGGCCGGAATGTGTGAAGGGCGAGTGGGAGAGGCGGCAGTGCCCAGCGCGGTGTGGGTGGGAGCAGCACGTGAGCGGCAGCTGCTGAGCTGGGGGGGGGGGGGGGGGTCCACTCTCAGGGGTTGACAGGGGGCAGGGAGCCCAGCTCAGGCAGCAGCTCAGAGTGGGGCTCCAGGCGGGCCAGGCGGCTCTGCTCTAGGGCAATGGCCTCGGCCGAGTGCTTGCACTTCTCCGAGCCACACTGGCAGGTGAAATATTTGCTTTTGATGTCCCAGAAGCGGTCGCCATAGTCAAACCTGTCAGAGGAGCACAGGTGGCTGGTGAGACCCAGACCTGACTGCCCAGGCCAGGCCAGAGCCTCCGCGGACCCTGCTCCGGAGGGCCCTGCCCCTCTCCCGACAGGCCGACCCTCGCGTGTTCTGTGGACCCGAGCACCAGCCTGCCTGGAACTGTCTGTGTGCAGGAGCCCGAGCCCCACCCACACTTACTGTGAGCTCGGGCCTATTTAGCACGCCCTCCAGGGACACTGCTGCACACCCGCTGAGCTCAGCTCCCGTGCATGCGTGCAACTGGGAGTTCTCTTCAGCGCCGAGTCCCAGGCCCGCGCCTCCCGCCCCTGGCTGAGCCCAGTCTCACCCCAGCTCCTCCCCGGTGCGGATGTCCCGGGAACTGAAGAAGGCGATGCGTGGAAACCGCAGGTCTTGGTGCAGCATGAAGACCCGGACAGGGATGATGTTGGGGTCACATAGGTGGTTGATGAACCGGCTGATGTTGCCATAGTAACGGGCATCGATGCAGTACACTTCTCCATCCTGAGGGGAGGGTGGCACTCTTCAGTGCCAGGCCCATGGCCCCCCCAGTCCCCCCGCCCCAGGTTTCCATGTGCGGCCTGGGAGTAGGGGAGTAGGGGACAGCAGGGCCTCCTGCCCACCTTGTTGTCCAAGTCGAAGAGATAAGAATCATCCTCTCGGACGTCAGCCTCGGCATCGGAGATCAGCTCCCCAACGTACCTGCCGGGCAGGGCGAGGGCTTCTGAAGGCGGGCAGGGCGGAGCCGGCCCAGCCGCGTCTCCGCACAACCCCACGGCCCGCTTCACTGTCAGACCCCCAGTCAGTGTCCGCGAACGTCACTGCTGCACAATGCTGGCCCCGCGTGGGGCCCGCGGCCTAGTGGGCCCAGAGGACAGGGACTTCATCTGGGAGGGAGGAGGTGGTGGTCCCCTCGGGGCAGGACCAGGAGGACGAACATGGGGACACTGGCATGTGAGGTCCCCACTGGAGAGTTGCAACAGGCAAGTGTGGTGGCCGGGGGAGGTGAAGGGATGGACCCAGGGCTCTGGGTTCGGGGGTGAGCTGGTGGCAGTTGGCTTGGGTGGGACAGTGTTCAGGTTTAGGCACTGGGAGGTTTGTGGGGGTGGCGATGGCAGGCTGATGGACAGGCGTCAGGGCTGCTGGAAGGGATGAAGCTGCAGGAGCGGAGGGGTTGGGGGGAGGAAGGTGGCACTTGGAGAATCTGCCCGGGAACCGAGGCCGAGGCACAGGGTGCAGGGTGGGTGCGAGGGGTGAGGGCAAAGGCAGGTGAGGCAGGATGAGCAATGAGCGACGGTGGGGAACTGGGGCCCAGGAAGAACGGCTGCTTGAGGAGCTGAGAGATGACATGACAGAAAGAAGGTCGTGGGTTCGATCCCTGGCCCTGGTCAGGGCGCATGCAGGAGGCAACCAATCAATGTGTCTCTCTCACATCAGTGTTTCTCTCTCTTTCTCCCCCCTCCCCCTCCCTCCCTCCCTCCCACACTAAAAACCAATGGAAAAATAACTTCGGATGAACAACAACCACACAAATGAAAGGCAGGGAGAGGGGATGTGAGGCTGGGAAGTGGGGGATGTGGGCAGTGGTGATGGGCAGCCCTGTGGTCTGGGCAGAGTGGGTGAAGGGATGGACCCAGGGCTCTGGGTTCGGGGGTGAGCCGGTGGCAGTTGGGGCGCTTGGCTGTGGGATGGGGGCAGAGCAGCTGGAGATGGGATACTGAGAAGAGGGGGGACCTGTCAGGGAGGAGGCAGAGAGGGCAGAAGAGGCAGCAGTGGCCCTGGGCCCACCCCTCACCCCTGCCCACTCACTCGCAGATGAAGGTTCCTTGGGGGATGGTGTGCAGGGCGCGGACCCCCCAGCCCATCTTGGCTGTTCGGTAGAGCTGCAGTCGAACCCTAGGGGTGGGAGAGAGAGTGATGCTGGGTGCATGGGAGACAGTGCGTGTGTGTGTGCGTGTGCGTGTGCGTGTGCGTGTGGCCTCACTTGATGCCGCTCTGCACCACCCGGTTCTTGCAGTTTCTCCAGCAGGAGCAGGCCTGGTTACACTCGAAGATCAGCGGGGGCTCGATCTTGTTAAATTCCTGGAGCAGCCGCCCATCCTGGGGAGGGGGAGGCGGTGGTTTCTGTGTGGTCCCACCTCAGCTGCCCAGGTCCCGAGACCCCACAGAAAAATCCTCCCCTGGCCTCAACCCAGTCAGCGGACACCACATATGCTCCGAGGTCAGAGGACTGGACTCCAAACCCTCCCTTGATCTGTAGGTGTCGGGCCAGGCCCATCTGTCCTAGCAGCATCCCAGGAATTCCAGGTCTGCCCTGCCCTCTCTGCCAGCCGCGCCAGGGCAGGAGGCGAGGGAAAGGCGAGGGTGCATACCTTGTCATACCAGCAGCGAATGCTGAGCTGGCCGCACAGGCAGTTGGAGCTGGAGCAGTCGTCCACACAGGTGCAGTGCTGGGGGGAGGCAGGGTGAGCTGGGCCCGGAGTCAGCCCTGCCTCAGCTCCCAGTGCGCCTGCCCCCACTGCTGCCCCTTCTCTAGGCCCCATGTTTTAGAATCAAGATGCTGCTGGAGTTTGTCCCAGGGCCACCCTGAGCCTGACGGCCCTGCGTGTGTCCGGGTGAGGGGACGCTTCTCCAGGGGACCGAGCCCAGGGCTGCCTCCGCCCTCACCTGCAGGTGGGTGATGTTGCGGTCAATGTTCATGGTGGAAGTCTCGCAGTTCTCCGAGATGTACTTGTAATCCTCGGGGCACGGCTCCCCGTCTACACCGTTGACGCAGGGAATGGGCACGTTCTCATAGCCCCGAGCCACGTCCCTGGCAAAGGGAGATGAGGTGAGGGCTCCCTGGGTGCAAGGGGAGGGCTGGGCGGTTCCTGGGGTGGGCGTGGGCTGGGGGAGGGAGGGAGGTGCTCTGGGTATTCGCCGGGGAATGGGGAGTAAAGTTGTCAGATAAAATACAGGGCATCCAGTTAAATTCAGATTTTAGATAAACAAGAAGTAATTGTTTGGTATAGGTACATCCCAAATGCTGCATGGGACACTTTTACATTAAAAAAAAGTTATCAACTGTTCATCTGATATTCAAATTTAACTGGCTATCCTCTATTTTTATTTCTTATATTTGGTAGTTTTAGGAGGGAGACCCGAAGGTGGTTCTTGGGATTCTAAGGGCCCTGGGGAGGGCTAGGGCGCAGGGGGCCGGGGAGGGCCAGGGCGCAGGGGGCCGGGGAGGGTGGGGCCGCTCTGGGAGGAGGCCGCACTCACCGGCAGATGATCTTCTCAGTGCGGACGGCCCGGTTGCCCACGCCGAGCCGCAGCTTGCGGTTGAGCTGGAGCGCAAACCACACGTCCGAGCGCTCGGGGGTCAGGTCCCACGCAGTGTCCCCCTCCTTGTTGCGCAGCTCGGGGTTCGCTCCACGCGACAGGAACAGCCTGGGAGGGAGAGGAAGCCGTGGGGTTGGGGCTTCCGGAGGTGATGGTGGGGCTTTGGGGGTGCGGCAGGCGGGGCTCACAGCACACAGTCGTGGTAGCTCTCCCGGGCTGCGATGTGCAGGGGCGTGTCCCCGTGGTAGTTGACGGCGTGCAGGTCGCAGCGGGCGTTCAGGAGGACCTCGGCGATGGCGGCACTGCCGGTGAAGGAGGCCCAGTGCAGGCAGATGTTCTCCTCCTGGGGAGGGGCACGGGGAGCCGGGCAGTGAGCCTGAGCCCCACCTCCGCTTTGGTCAGGGTCTGGGCCAGGCCAACTCCCCACCCAACCAAACTCAGGCTCACGTTGTCTGTGAGGGTGACGTCGGCGCCGCGCGTGAGCAGCATGCGGATCACCTCAATGTGCTTGTGCTCTGCGGCCCAGATGATGGGCGTCCACCCCCCACTGTCCTGTGGGCGGGAGGGAGAAGGGGAGGAGGCTGCGGGCAGGCCCCACCGGCTCTGTTCACCAAAGCAGCATGTGGCCAGAAGCACGCGCCCTGGAGCCAGACGAGTGAGCCCGCTGGCGCCGAGGTGCCCAGTGCCCTGCGCCGGCTTCATCTGGCACCAACCACAGTGTCTGTGGCTCAGGCCGCAGAGCACCTCTGCCCTTTTTCTCTTTTTGTTAATCCTCCGCAGAGGATATTTTCCCATTGATTTTCAGAGAGAGGGGAAGGGAGAGGGAGAGACAGAGAAAGAAACATCGATGTGAGAGACACACATTGATTGGCTGCCCGCCCCCGCCCCCTCCCATCCCCCAACCCCCAGGCATGCGCCCCGACCAGGGCTAGTGATCCAGCCTGCAACTGAGGCATGTGCCCTTGACCAGAATCAAACACCGGACCCTTCAGTCTGCAGGCCGACGCTCTAACCACTGAGCAACCAGCCAGAGCAGTATTTTTTTTCTTTTTTAAAAATTTGTATTTCCTAGGTCTGCCTACGCAGAAGTCCTAGACGCAGGAAGCAGCAGTGACAGCCGCCCGTGGTACAGACTGTAGTGTGTGAATGCCTGAAAGGCCAGGGTGCTCTCAGAGGCTGCTGGGCCACGCCAGAGGCCACAGGAGCCAACTCCAGGGGCTCCTCCTGACCAAGGATGAATTGAGAAGATGAGAGAGTGAAACACGCCTACCATGCGAAAAACTAAGAGTTCACAAAGAATTGCACTGAGCCCTAGACGGTTTGGCTCAGTGGATGGAGCGTCGGCCTGTGGACTGAAAGGTCCCAGGTTCGATTCCGGTCAAGGGCACATGCCCAGGTTGCGGGCTCGATCCCCAGTGTGGGGCGTGCAGGAGGCAGCTGATCAATGATTCTCGCTCATCATTGATGTTTCTCTCTCTCTCTCTCCCTTCCTCTCTGATTAAAAAATAATACAAAAGAATTTTAAAATAAATGGCACCGACACCTCAGAGATAAGGCAGCTCCTCAGTACCCAAAGGGACAAAGAGAAGAAGCAAGAAAGAGAAATGCAAATGAGGGAGAAAGGCGAGGACAGCTGCAGCCACATGGGTTGTAGGGAGGGGTCAGAGGTCAGCCGAGGTGGAAAGGGGGCACAGCCTAGGGCTGAGCCAGGGACCCCAGGGGCTGGGGCGGCCGGGCCTCTGACCTGGGCATTGACGTCCACCTGTCCTGTGCTGAGCAGCAGGCTGACCATCTCCAAGTTCCCGATTTTGGCTGCGTGGTGGAGGCAGGTGGAGCCGTCCTCCTCCTGGGGGAGACGGCAGGTGAGTCCTCGGGCGGCCCCTCTAACGGGCCCCCAGCCCGGCCCAGCAGCGCACCTTGCTGTAGACACACCCGCCGCGCTGCACCATGTAGCGGGCCGCCTCCAGGTGGTTGTTCACCACGGCCTCCATCAGCGGCGTCCGCTGCTGCTTGTCCACAGCGTTGATGTTGGCTCCAGCCTGCAAGGAGGGGCATGTGGCTGGCACAGGGCGGGCAGGGCGGGCAGGGGTCCGAGGCCTGCGGGGGCGGCCGTGCTGACCTGCAGCAGCACGTGGCAGATCTCCACGGAGCCCTTCTGGGCGGCCGCGTGCAGGGGTGTGCGCTTGCTCTGCTGGTCGCTCTGGAAGTTGGGGTCCAGGTTGTCCACTGCGGGGAGAGCCCGCCGTACGGGAGAAGGAGGGACACGTGGTGAGCGAGCGAGGGGCGGCGCCTGCTCCAGGAAGGCTTCTAGGGCACGTGTCAGAGTAGGGAGCCAGGGCACCAGCTCAGCCCGAGTCAAAGCGGCCCTTCCCCGGTGCTGCTGTGCGCCGGGCCGCAGGCACCTCGGCGAGGACGGAGGCTGCCCCGCGCCCCTGGCCAGCCCGCTGCTGGGTAGCGCTGGGCGCAATCGAGCTCGGCTCACTTGTGCGAACGAATGAGCACATACTCACACAGCATCAGGACGACCTTCTGCAGCTCCCCCTGCTTCACGGACAGGTACAGCTGCCGGGGGTGGAAGCGGAGTTTCTTCCGCCTGCCAAGGGGGGTTCTCAGACTCCAGCAGCAGCCTCACCACCAGAGACCGGCCCTCCAGCCCCACCCCAGCCTCCGTGAGGACAGCAGCCCACTCACCGCTCGGACTCCTGGACGACCAGGGCCTTTTCCAGGGCCTCCCGGCCTGGCCCAGGTGGCAGCCCCACGGCCGAGAGGCAGCCCCCACTGGGCAGGGTCAGGGAGGGCCCCGAGCTGTCGATGGTGTCAGCCACGGGGTCGCAGGGTGTACGCCGCGGCTCGCCCTGCCCGCGCATCCGGGCGCTGCGGGAGAAGGGGCTAATGTCTTAGGGGCGCCGGGGAGCGACAGGGAAGAGACGGGGGGTGGGGGAGGCCAGTACCTGGGCTGGGAGGTATCCGCTCTCCCAGGGGCATCCTGGGCCAGGGGTGGGGGCGCAGGGGCTGCAGTGCCAGCTGGTGGTGTCACTCCGTCCCCCCGGGGGATGGTCACCTCCTGGGCCTCGGACGCATCCTCCCCACAGTGGGGACAGAAGACCATGCCGTTCATCTGGGACACACAGGCCTTGTGGAAGCGATGGGCCACACGGAAGTCGGGGTGGCACTCCAGGAAGGTGCCCTGGGGCAGGGAAACAGGGGTGAGGCCAGGGGATCCCCCAGGGGCGCGCTGCCTGCCCGCCCCACGCCCACTCACCACTGTACAGAAGTAGCCGCAGCCCGGACAGCAGTGGTGCTTGACCATGCGGGCCCGGTGCGCCTCGCAGAGCACCATCAGGGCCACGCGGCTCGAGGGCCTCATGGTCTCCCGCTTGAGGATGGCAGCGTTGCAGCCCGACAGCTGTGGCAGGGAGGGTGGGCGAGAAGAGGTGAGGCTGGGCCTGGCCCTGCCCGCGGCGCTCCTCTGCCCTCGGCCCACCTCTCCGCCTCGGCCCACCTCTCCGTCCACGCTCTCCGTGGCCATGCACTTGTGCCCCGCTCTTTCGCTGATGCGGTCGATCTTGGGCGCCTCCATGCGGCAGCTGCACAGGGGCAGCTCCTCCAGCCCGCGCTCCGTCTCCAGGGAAGAAGTATCGTTGGACACCCCTTGGACAGAGGAGAAAGGGAGCTGAGGGAGGCCCTGCCCCTCACCCACCGGGACCCCTGGTGGGGCCGTTCGCCCCCCACCCTGCCTGCCTTTCCCTCCATGCTCCAGAACCCCCAAAGCCTGGCCATGAACACCCTGGCTCCAGTGGGGTCCCCCTCCTCCCCTTTCCCTCCAGTCCTGACGGTGCCCCCTAGTGGCTCCCTATCCCAGCAATTGGCAATTAATTACCAGCGTGGTTGGGGGAGAGGGTCCCCTCGCTGGGCAGCTCCAGGGACCCCAGAGGGACCTCCATGTACTCACTGGGGCCTGAGGAGCCCACACCATTCACTCCTGACACAGAGACAGAGAGAGTGAGAGTGCGAGCTCACAGGCGCCTGATGTGTGGGTACATGCGTGAGCGTGTGCTCGTGCACGCTCTCTGGGGCTGGGAGGGGGCTGAAGGAGGGCACCCCAAAGCAGAGGAGCCTCCTCACCTCGTGGCTCCTTGGCCCGTGGAGGCTCCCGCTTCCGCCGTTTCCGGGACGGCTTCACCCAGGGGCTGTCCTTCCGCCATTTCTTTTTGGCTTTTCTCCGGCCGCTGGAACCGCTCTGGGGAGGAGGGAGGGTTAGCGAGCCTGGCCCAGACCCTCTGGAACCCTCTGGAACCCTCTGGAACCTCGGGCCATCCCGCCTCCCGCTCTCACCCACCTTGTCAGACTGATTGCCAGACTCCTCGTCCTCCTCTTCCTCCTCCTCCTCCTCCTCTTCTTCCTCCTCCTCTTCCTCCTCCTCCTCACTCAGTTGTTCAGCCAGTGCTTCAACCTCAGACTGGACCAGGGCAAAGTGGGGCTGAGGAAACAGTGGCCCTTGGGCCACAGCTCTCCCGTGGGGGGACGTGGGAGGCGGGGCAGGTCACACCCAACCGCCGGGCGCCGCCACCCCGGGCGGCTCTCTCCTGGGGCGGGGCTGGCGGGGAAGGAGTTAAAGAGCCGGGTAAAGGGAAAGGATGGAGAATATCACACAGCAACAAGAAGGAAGGTGCGATGTTAGATGCAACAACACGTGTGAATCTTGGCAAGACAACATTAAGTGAAACAAAAACAACAAATTAAAAATGGCGGGGGAGTAGGTGGATGCTGCACGGACATGCTCCCAGGAACAAGCTGGAATTGCAACCGAAATACGGAAAGAATTCCTGAATAATCAACGGCAGACTCACAGGAGAGAACCCTGATACCCAAGGACCAAAGGTGGAGACGCAGAGAGACTGGTAGGAGGGGCGGAGGCGCAAAAGGGCTGGCCAGGCCCCCACAGACGGCAACGGAAGTCCCGGAGAGAGAGCTCAGCTGGGAGGGGTGCCACTGAGAACTCTAGGGTCTAATCCTGAAGCTGGGCTCCCAGGCAGAGAGCACCAAACTGGGAGGGTACCCACATAACATCTATCTGTGAAAAGCAGTGGGGTGCTGTTGGCCAGGGAGTGACAGCTGAAAGTTCAGGCACCCTCTTAAAGGGCCAATGCGCAAAAATTCCCTGTGGAACATCGAGTGGCTGACTGGATAAAAAAACATGACCCATACATCTGCTGTCTACAGGAAACCCACCTCATTAGAAGGGACTCACACAGACTGAGAGTGAAGGGATGGAAAAATATCTTTCAGGCAAATGGAAAGGAAAAGAAAGCTGGGGTAGCAATACTTATATCGGACAAAATAGACCTCAAAGTGAAGGCCATAACAAGAGATAAGGAAGGCCACTTCATAATACTAAAGGGATCAATACAACAAGAGGATATAACGCTGATAAACATATATGCACCCAATGCAGGAGCACCCAAATTCATAAAAAACTCCTGGAAGATATCAAAGGAGAGATCGACAACAATACAATCATAGTAGGGGACTTTAATACACCACTGACAGCACTGGATAAATCCTCTAGACAAACAATCAGCAAAGAAACAGCAATCCTAAATGACTCACTAGATCAGATGGACTTAATTGACATCTTCAGAACATTTCACCCCAAAGCCATGGAATATACATTCTTCTCAAGTGCACATGGGACATTTTGAAAAATAGACCACATATTGGGTCACAAACAAAGTCTCCCCAAATTCAAGAAGATTGAAATCATACCAAGCATCTTCTAAGGCCATAATGGCATAATATTAGAAATAAACTACAATATAAACAACCCCAAATACTCAAACACTTGGAAGCTGAACAGCATGTTATTAAATATTGATTGGGTTACCAATGAGATCAAAGAAGAAATTAAAAACATCCTGGAAACTAATGACAATGAAAACACAACAATCCCAAACCTATGGGACACAATGAAAGCAGTCCTGAGAGGGAAGTTTATAGCTCTACAAAAAACAAGAAAAAATGGTAGTAAATCATCTAACTCTACAACTCAAAGAATTAGAAAGAAAGCAACAAGAAAAGCCCAGAGTGAGCAGAAGGAAGGAGATAATAAAGATTAGAGCAGAAATAAGTGACATAGAGGCCAAACAAACAATACATAAAAATCAACGAAACCAAGAGCTGGTTCTTTGAAAGGATAAACAAGATTGACAAACCTCTAGCCAGGCTCACCAAGAAGCAAAGAGAGAGGACCCAAATAAACAAAATCAGAAACGATAGAGGCGAAATAACAACAGACCCCACAGAAATACAAATGATTGTTAAAAAATACTATGGACAGCTCTACTCCAACAAACTAGACAACCTGGAGGAAATGGACATATTCCTAGAAAAATACAACACTCCAAAACTCAATCAGGAAGAATCTCAAAATCTCAACAGGCCAATAACTATGGAAGAAATTGAAGCAATCATCAAAAAGCTTCCATCAAACAAAAGCCCAGGACCAGACGGCTTCACAGGGGAGTTTTACCAAACATTCAAGGAAGAACTAAAACCTATCCTCCTCAGACTACTACAGAAAATTCAAGAGGAAGGAACACTTCCCAGCTCATTCTATGAAGCCAGCATCACCCTAATACCAAAACCAGGTAAAGACAACACAATGAAAGAGAATTACAAGCCAATATCCCTCATGAACATAGATGCCAAAATCCTCAACAAAATCTTAGCAAATCGGATCCAGCAATACATCAGAAAGATCATACACCATGACCAAGTAGGATTTATCCCAGGGATGCAAGGATGGTACAATATCCGCAAATCAATAAACATGATACATCACATAAACAAATTGAAAGAAAAAAACCACATGGTCATATCAATTGATGCAGAAAAAGCATTTGACAAAATCCAACACCCATTTTTGATAAAAACTCTCAGCAAGGCCAAAACCGGTTTGGCTCAGTGGATAGAGTGTCGGCCTGCGGACTGAAGGGTCCCAGGTTCAATTCCGGTCAAGGGCATGTGCCTGGGTTGCCGGCACATCCCCAGTGGGGGATGTGCAGGAGGCAGCTGATCGATGTTTCTCTTTCATCGATGTTTCTGACTCTCTATCTCTCTCCCTTCCTCTCTGTAAAAAATCAATAAAATATATTAAAAAAAAAACCACAAAAAAAAACCTCTCAGCAAGGTGGGAATAGAAGGATCATACCTCAACATAATAAAAGCCATATATGACAAACCCACTGCCAACATCACCACTCTCACCACTCCTGTTCAACATAGTACTGGAAGTATTAGCCATTGCAATTAGATAAGAAGAAGAAATAAAAGGCATCCAAATTGGAAAAGAGGAAGTAAAATTGTCTTTATTTGCAGATGACATGATATTACACATACAAAACCCTAAGGACTCCATCAAAAAACTATTAGACTTAATAAATGAATTTGGCAATGTAGCAGGATACAAAATTAACCCAAGAAATCTAAGGCATTTCTATACACCAATAGTGAACTTACAGAAAGAGAGACTAAAAAAACAATCCCATTCACCATCGCACCAAAAAAATTAAGATACCTAGGAATAAACTTAATTAAAGAGGTAAAACACCTCTACTCAGGAAACTACAGGACGTCAAAAAAAGAGATAGAGGAAGACATAAACAGATGGAAGAGCATACCATGTTCTTGGATTGGTAGAATCAACATCATTAAAATGTCCATACTACCCAAAGCAATCTATAAATTCAACGCACTTCCCATTAAAATACCAACGGCATATTTCACAGACATAGAACGAACTCTCCAAAAATTCATCTGGAATAAAAAAAGACCCCGAATAGCTGCAGCGATCCTGAGAAAGAACAAAGTAGGTGGGATCTCAATACCAGATATCAAGCTGTATTACAAAGCCACTGTTCTCAAAACTGCCTGGTACTGGCACAAGAACAGACATATAGATCAGTGGAATAGAATAGAGAGCCCAGAAATTGGCCAGAACCAATATGCTCAATTAATATTTGACAAAGGAGGCAAGAACATACAATGGAGTCAAGATAGTCTCTTCAATAAATGGTGTTGGGAAAATTGGACAGATATATGCAAAAAAATGAAACTAGACCACCAACTTACACCATACACAAAAATAAACTCAAAATGGATAAAGGACCTAAATGTACGTTGGGAAACCATAAAAATACTAGAAGAATCCAAAGGCAACAAAATCTCAGACATATGCCGAAGCAATTTCTTCACCGATACAGCTCCTAGGGCATTGGAAACTAAAGAGAAAATAAACAAATGGGACTACATCAACATAAAAAGCTTCTGCACAGCAAAAGAAACCATTAACAAAACAACAAGAAAGCCCACTGCATGGGAAAACGTATTTGCCAATGTTATCACCGATAAGGGTTTAATCTCCAACATTTATAGGGAACTCATACAACTTAACAAAAGGAAGATAAACAATCCAATCAAAAAATGGGCAAAGGACCTAAATAGACACCTTTCAAAAGAGGACATTCAGAAAGCCAAGAGACATATGAAAACATGCTCAAAGTCACTAATCACCCGAGAGATGCAAATCAAAACAACAATGAGGTACCATCTCACACCTGTCAGAATGGCTATCATCAACAAATCCACAAACGACAAGTGCTGGAGAGGATGTGGAGAAAAGGAACACTCGTGCACTGCTGGTGGGAATGCAGACTGGTGCAGCCACTATGGAAGACAGTATGGAATTTCCTCAAAAAACTAAAAATGGAACTCCCATTTGACCCCGTGATCCCACTTCTAGGAATATATCCCAAGAAACCAGAAACACCAATCAGAGAGGATATATGCATCCCTATGTTCATAGCAGCACAATTCACCATAGTTAAGATCTGGAAACAGCCTAAGTGCCAATCAGTAGATGAATGGATTAGAAAACAGTGGTACATCTACACGATGGAATACTATGCTGCTGTAGAAAAGAAGGAATTCTTACCATTTGCAACAGCATGGATGGAACTGGAGAGCATTATGCTAAGTGAAATAAGCCAGTCAATGAAGGAAAAATACCACATGATCTCACTCATTTATGGATAATAAAGACCATTATAAACTTATGAACAAAAATAGATACAGAGGCAGAGCAGCCTCGAACAGACTGTCAAACTACAGCGGGAAGGTCGGGGAGGGTTGGGGGGCGGGGGAGGGGGGATTAGAGATCAACCAAAGGACTTGTATGCATGCATATAAGCATAACCAATGGACATAAGACACTGGGGGGTAGGGGAGGCCAGGGGATTGTCAAGGGCGGGGGGAGGGGGGGCGAGGGGAAGAAGGAGACATATGTAATACTCTTTTTTTAAAAAAATATATTTTATTGATTTTATACAGAGAGAAAGGGAGAGGGATAGAGAGTTAGAAACATCGATGAGAGAGAAACATCGATCAGCTGCCTCCTGCACTCCCCCTACTGGGGATGTGCCC